TCAATAATTTCATTAATATTTGGTCTATTTAAAGGTGAATTATCCCAACATTTTATCATTAAATCTAAATAAGATTTTGGAGTTCCTTTAATAATTTCAGGACGTAAACCATTAATAATTTCTTTTATTAAATTTTCATCATGAGAAAAATGAACAAAAGATTGTTGACCTGAAGTTAATTCCTATATTATCATCGCGAAAGAATAAAAAAGGAAAGATATTTTCAACAAAAAGCATATGGCTATTTTTTATAACTTCTCATCAATTTTTGAAAGACTCAAATTTAACAATTTACGATAATGATCAATTATTACATAATCAAGGATCGACATTTTTGTTTGATTTACTTAGTTGACTGACCACCCCAAGTCGATGCAACGTATCCATGATCATGTATAGCTTTCAGTCCTTTCGCTATTTCTAATAATATGAAAATTTTCTGATACCAATCAATTTCAATAAAATTATCTTGAAGATATTGTCACAAATCTCCTTCGCTTGCATATTACATAACCAAAATGTAATCGTTGGTTTCAGGATCCTGTATAATTTTGGACTTTTTTCTGAACTCATTACAGTGTAATATGAATGAAGCTATATCAGAAAGGGGGCGAGGAAGGAATAAAAAAAGAAAAAATTGATCTAATCTTTATGATAAAATCGTTTCATACCTGAAGTATAAAATCAGCTCCATTAATATTCTTTGAATTTTTTAATTGTTTAAGAACTACATATTGAGATCCTGTTGTACTTTTATCGCTAAACGAAAATGAAATATGATCTATTCAAAGATTAAATAGAATAATATTTATTATAAAAACATATAGCAAATTAAAATAACAAAAAAATTCAATCAACTTCACATCAAGTCTAGTGATTCTCTCTTATTTTTTAATTTAATAACAATTTTAAATGAACCATCCGATTTTTTTTTTATTATCATATAAAGATAAAAATTGTAAACCAAATTCTCTAACATTATTAGGAGCTTCTTCATAAATTAACTTCCAAATAAAATCATCATTATGTTTTTCTACTTCATTTATCCAACCTTTCATCGTGCCAAAATAAAGTCCATTATTCCAAGAAGCGAGATAAACTTTACTATAACCACTTTCTTCTAATAATATTATATACAAATTTATCAAGGGAATTAATTTTAAATAATTTTCTTTAACAGGATTTGTTAATTGGGTTTTTTAATAAATCCATCTAATAAATCTATTTCACTTGTCCAATAACCAAAATTTTCTTTAAATAATTTTGTTTCACATTCATTACATCATAATATTGAATTTTTTTTATAAGGTGTTTCACATTTAAAACTATTCTGATGCTGATAAAAGTGATGAGATGATGGAATTGGTTGTTAATAATTGTAAACTCTACTAAATATGTTTCCGTATAATCTTTTGATGCTTGTTTGATTTCTAAATACGGTTGTCACTTTTCTGATCGCATCTCTAAATAAATAAAAATAAATGAAATAAAAAGAATTCTAAAAAATTATTAAAATAGCACTTTAAATAATAATATGATGACTTACATATGTATATTTAATTTTCAAAAAAAAAAAGATCTAAATTTTGCGAAAAAGAAAAATTCAAATTTAAAATTAAATAACTAAAAAAAATCCACTATATTTAATTTGTATTGATCTATATAAATTGTTAACGGATACTTGCCTTTTTTAATCATATTCATTTTTGGTTCTTCTTGGGATGATACAATCAGTGATGCAATCGACCGCAGCAGATCACAGTCATCGCACTTTTTTTTTTATATTTTTTGGTTCCTTTTTTCAAACTGAAAAAGCCAAAATCAATTTTTTTTTATTTTCTTTGGCTCAAACCAAAAAATAAATTTTTTTTAATCAAGCTTTTTATTTTTTAGTTCAAATCGAAAAATAAATCTTTTGGTTTTTTTTATTTTTGTATTATTAGTTATTTTATTTTTTTTGTAAATTATTAATAATTAATTAACACCAACTGAATTTTTTTCTAGTATTCTATCTCCATCTTCTAAGTTGTAGTAAATTTTTTATTATATAAATAAAATACAGTCAACTCCCTCTATAGTCACTCCCGTTATAGTCACATTCTACTATATAGTCACACCAGTTGAATGTTCAAAACACTTTATTATTAAAATCTATCCTATATAGTCACAATCTATCTATAGTCACTATCACACCTATCCTCAAAAATCTTATATTAAAAAGAACCGTTTATAATCACAGTTATATAAAGAATATATTAAATAACTTGGCATCTAATAATCGTACAAAGATGTATCATAGCTAGTTAGAATCGTCTCACTGAGACGAATCGAATGGTGGTAGTTTTATCCTTTTCCAACCACTGGCTGACGAGTTATTCAACAAAATGTTAAACATCGGCATTATAATATTTCTTGATTTACGTTTACTGCGCCATTTAACATTTTGCTAGATTTCTCGGTACCTAGTGATTGTAAAAAGACGATATATAGCTCGTTGGAATCGCCTCATCGAGACGAATCGAATGGTGGTAAGCTCATCTCTCTGTGATCAATATTGGCGGAGTTATTACTTAAAAACCATTTAATATTTTTTAATTTCGGAAATTGATCTAGTGATTGGATTTCGATGTATCTTATACCATTAGATTCGTCTCATCAAGACGAATCGAATGGTAGTATGATCGTCTCTCTAGGATCAATATTGGCAGAGTTATTACACAAAAACTATTAATATTTTTTTAATTTCGGAAATTAATCTAGTGATTGGATTTCTATGTATTTTATACCATTAGAACCGTCTCATCAAGACGAATCGAATGGCGGTAAGATCATCTCTCTACGATTAATATTGGCGAAGTTACGATACAATAAAGTTTTAAGTATAATTCTGGCTAAAATTATGTTAATTTTTGGCCGGAATTATGATATACAAATATAAGAAATTTTTTATATAGTCACATCTCTTTATAATCACCAAATATGGACTGTCCCAAATGTGTGACTATAAAGAGAGTTGACTGTATTTAATTATATTCCATGATACTAATGCGATACTCGAAAATTTTAATTAAATTAATTTTTTATTTGAAAAATTAACGAAAATAAAATGTAATATAAAAAAGACGTGTACACGAAAATAATAATAAAATAATTACGTAAAAATTAAAAATAATAATTGAAATAACATATAAAATTGAAATTAGTTTGAAATATACTTTAATAAATAAATGTTATTTTACTAAAGCAAATTGGAAAAGAAATACACCCAAGATTTAATAAAATTTCAAAAGTTTAATTTTATAAGTATTATGAGTTACGAAAATAGATTTAGTATTTGTGGATTGTTTGATTGACTTTACAGGAATAAATCTACTGGTCATTCATATACTGCACTTTCATAATTATCAACTGAATATATTATTATAAGATGTGATCTTTATTTTGATGATAGATAATTTTTAACTACAAAGCAGTTAATCAGTTTGATTTATTTATTATGTATTGTTATATATATTATTATATTTAAATTTGAACATTTAAATTTCCACGTAATTTTCATGATGAAGTATCACAATTTTAGATTTATTAGTTTCTCTAAGCATGTAGAATATCTTAATTGTATAATTATTAATTAATTCACCAGACTGTAAATTTAATTTATGAGTATTCACTCTCTTAAAGTTCTTAAAGAACATAGTTGCTTAACAAAATTAACGAATGAATTGATTATTAGTAATTACCATAATTTAAATTTTCTTCATTACCAATTCAAAATTTCTGAATTATAAACTTTATTTGCAATTTATTTTAAATAAAGATAACCCCGGAAATCAATATATAAGGATTCTAAAAAAAAGTTACGGACAAAGTGGATCACAAAATTTTGATTAATAATTAGTAGGTAGGTAATTTTTTCCTTATTATGCAAATGGTTGCGTTATTTTAGATAAGTCCATATAGGATTTAATTTAGTAGTTGTTTGTTAATTTTGAATTATCAGGAAAGTTTCCTTGATTTTATTCGTATAAAATTCAATCATTTCAACCACTTAGAAAATAACAAAAATAACAATAAATTTAGTCAAGAAAATCGTAAAAATAATAAAAACTGAAAACCATTAAAGGATTATAACAATAAATTGAATGTGATGAATTATTTTAATATCTAATAATTTTTTCTGAGATTAGTTATTCTATAACTTATTCAAAGCTTAATTTGATTGAGTACAGTATATGAACTCAATTATTTTCATAATATCAAATTGAAAAACAATCTTGTTTTAATGAACAAAAAATGGTAATGGAAGATGAAACAATTATCTATAAATTTAACTTTTTATTTTCATTTTTTAATTACTTGAAATACTTCATAATCTTCTACTTCAAAATTTGCTGGAATTCCTATTTTAGGATAACGTTCTCTATTATTATCATAAAACCAATTGTTATTACAACAGTATAAATCACCCATAGTTGGTCCATAACTATTGGCACAATAAACAGCATAATTCTGATTATTAACATAACTCATTTTTGCAGTAGAAACATTTTTTCCATTTGTAAAATTAAATAAAAAACTATCTGCTGTAGTTTTCCAAGACTGACTTTGATCCCAATTAAGCGGGTTATGCCCACCAATTAATTGTGTAGAATTTTTAATTTTTGCAATCCAAATAGTAGCTCCTTTATTGTCACAATTTCTATGAAAAGAATTAGTATCATTTCCATCTTGACTTGAACGATATAATAATTTAAGATCATAAGGAATATTTTTTCTATTATAATGTGAAGAATCTTTTTTATCAATCCATGAAGCAAAAATGGGAACATGGTTTGATTCAATCAAGGTTGATTTAATGCCAGGTTTTCTTGAAGGTGTCAAATTATTTTTAGGTTTCATATTAGGAACTATATAAAATTCTAAAAGTTTATGAATTAAATCTTGTGGTAAGATATCTTTATAACAATAAACTTTATAAAAGAAGTCTGTAGGTTCAATATCATAAAATCGAATTAAAGGAATAAATCTGTACAATGCCCTTTCAATCTTTGTGATATCTTCTTTATTCCATTTTGATGGTTCATTCTTCACATTTTGTTTAGAAAAACACCATTTTAACAAATTTTCCCAAATTTCAATTTCATCCATATTTAAATCATCTTTTTTTAATAATAATTCTAATAAAGGAGCTTTTAAATCAATAAATTTATCAGAATCAAATAAAACTTTAGGTTCTTCACAAATTTTTTCAAGACAAAAATTCCATAAATCTGTAAATGTTTCATGTTGATAAACAGTTTCAAGAATTCCAGTTGGATTTTGGTATAAAAATTCAGTTTGATGTTCAATCAAAAATTCTTGAATATGAGAAATCAAAGGATGAATATTAAGCTCATCAACTGCAATTAACAATTTCAATACATCAGGACCTTGTAAATTCTTTAATTCAATATTTCCACAATAAATAAACCTAATATACAATGATATAATATTAATTAGTCTTTTCTTTTATTACACAATGTTAAAATTTATTATATATATCATAAATACCTAAGAATGATATTAAATAATTGTGGAGAAATGTTAGGTTTTTTGAAAATAAATTTTCCATCTTTTTTCTCAGCCCATTCATTAGAAAATGCGGAGCGAAAGTATTGAGACCTAATAGATAAAATATTTGAATGAGCATGAATTTCCTTAACATATTGCTCTTCGCCAGCGTAAATAATAACGTCATATCCAATTTCTGTCTCAAAAAGTTTTTCATAATCGTTAGATAATTCTGCCAAGAATTTTGAAGACATTGCTTTTAATTTATAAATGTAATTAATAAGAATAAGCAAGAAATGCAGGAAATTCAGTAAAAATTTAAGTTTGAGGTACGAACTCTTTTATATTATTCTATGATGATCAATTTCTATAACCGGAAACATTACAATTCCGAAATAGGTCTGGTACTACTTAACAGCAGTGCCGATTTCGGAATTTTTCGGATGTTACTTTGTATTACTAGTGACATTAACTACTGCGGATTTGTGTTTATTTAATAATTTATATTTTGAGTTACGAAAATAGATTGGTTTATTTATGGTTTGTTGGTTGATTTTGCAGAAATAAATCTATTATCATATACTGCACATCATAATTTCTCAATTATTGTAAGAAGTGGCCATTATTTTTATGGTAGACAATTTTTAACTACAAAATAGGTTTGTTC